ATCAGCCATGGTTCTGGGCCGGATGACCTAGAATCTTCTCATTCAACCTGGACCAAATCCAGTGGCTCTGACCCATCAAAGTCTTTTTTTTTTTTGGCTGGTCATAAGGCTTGAACTCTGGGCCTAGGCACTGTCACTGAGCTTTTCAGCTCAAGGTGAGCTCTCTACCACTTAAGCCACATCACCACTTCCAGTTTTCTGGTGGTTTATTGGAGATAAGAGTCTCATGGACTTTCCTGCCCAGGCTGGCTTTGAACCATGATCGTCAGATCTCAGCCTCCTGAGTAGTTAGGATTACAGGCATGAGACACTGGCACCTGGCTCCCCCAAAGTTAGGCAGGCCAGGCTGGGTTATTCAACTTGGTCTTTCTTCTTTGGTCATTCTTGTTTCTATTTTGATTCCTGGACCATGTGTTTTGTTCCTTTTTCTGAGGTTAATAAACCTCCAGGTGCCCGTGGCTCATACCTATAATTCTAGCTACTCAGGAAGCTGAGATCTGAGGATTGTGGTTTAAAGCCAGCCAGGATAGGAAAAGTCCTGTGAGACTCATGTCCAATTAACCACCAAAAAGCCTGGAGTGGAGCTGTGGTTTAAGTGGTAGAAGGCTAGTCTTAACTAAAAAAAACAAAACCAAAATCATAGTTGTCTTTGCGGAAACTTCTTGACCTACTTTAATTTAATGACACTTGGTCTGAGGTCCCACTTCTGTCCACACCAACAACTCATTGGAAGGCAGCTCCTACCTCTTCAGGGTGCTTTCTGTGCACTATTCATAAGCCCAGAGCCAGCTCCTGTCCGGTTTTCCTGCTCAGCAGCTGGTCCTTTGCTGGTCCTTTGCTACGTGGCGACTTCTCTCTCACGGGTGATACTATCCTCACCTTCCCAAGCCAGGGGTATGACCATGGGGGAAGGAAGAAACCCAGATTACACCAGGAGGAGACAAGTTCACTCCTGAAGCTCCTCCTCCTCCAAACAGGCATGGTGCTGGCAGTGTGAGTGGACATTTGCTGCTGGTGGTGATGAAGAGGAGAGAATAAGAAGGGAATCTGCTTGCTGGGGAAGGGTGTGGGATCCAGCATAAAGAATACAAAGCTAAAGCTGGGCGCCGGTGGCTCATGCCTGTAATCCTAGCTACTCAGGAGGCTGAGATCTGAGGATCGTGGTTCAAAGCCAGCCCAGGCAGGAAAGTCCATGAAACTCTTATCTCCAATAAACCACCAGAAAACCAGAAGTGGCGCTGTAGTTCAAGTGGTTGCATGCTAGCCTTGAGCTGAAGAGCTGGACAGTGCCCAAGCCCAGAGTTCAAGCCCCATGACTGACAAAACAAAACAAGACAAAACAAGAATACAAAGCTAATCCATTGTATCTGCCCTGGGCAGAAGGTAGAGCTGTGGTGGTACAGTGACAGGGCCTGGGTTAGGATCATTCTTGAATATTACCAATCTATCTAGAGCCCAGAGAATCTATTTAGAGTTGAACATTTCTGGTCTCAGGACTCCTTTACATTCTTTAAAAAAAGATGTAACTTAGTGGAAGAGCACTTGCTGAGCATGTGCAAAGCCAAACCCTGAACAACTTTTGCTTATATGGATTGTATCTAGTGATATAACCACACTAGAAGTTAAAATAGAGCATTTTAAAATATTTATTCTCAGATTACTTTAACCTAGTCTCATCAATACATAACATTTCTGTGAAAAATACTTTGCATATTAGAAACTGTTTAGTGAGAAGGGTATTATTTTACATTTTTGTACATATATTTCGTGTCTGTCCTAATAGCTGGATTCTCTGATTCTGCATTCCATCTGCTGCAATAACACATATCATATGGCTTCTAGAAAATTCTACGATACTTGTGACATAATATGAATAAAAAAGGCAAATAGCTGAGCATAGAGGTGTACACCAGTGATTCTATAACTCTGTGTAACTGTGTAACCCTGGAGAGGAAACAAAGGGATCTCAAAGCCAGCTAAACAAGTGACAAATAGAATCTCTACTACAAAAAGCACTTTGGTCCCTTAAAATACCTCCATATTCCCAGACTAAACTTTGAATACCTCTAATACCTTTAAACAACCTGATAAAGCAAGGGTCAGAATCTTTTTTTTTTTTTTTTTGTCATGGGGCTTGAACTCCGGGCCTGGAGCTCTTCAGCTCAAGGCTAGTGCTCTACCACTTTAGTCACAGCGTCACTTCTGGTTTTCTGGTGGTTTATTGGAGATAAGAGTCTCAGGGACTTTCCTGACCAGGCTAGTTTTGAACCACAGTCCTCAGATCTCAGCCTCCTGAGTAGCTAGGATTACAGGTGTAAGCCATCGGTGCCTGGCTCAGAATCATTTTATCTTTTACTTTTTTGGGGGGGAGGGGGATAGGGTGGCTTGAATTCAGGACCTGGGCACTGTCCCTTAGCTTTTTCTGCTTAAGACTAGTGCTCTACCACTTGAGCCACATCTTTTTGTTTGATTGGAGATAAGAGTCTCATAGACTTTCCTGCCTGAGCTGGATTTGAACCACAATCCTCAGACTGCAGCTTCCTGAGTAGCTAGGATTACAGATATGAGCCACTAGCTCATGTTGAAAATCCTTTTCTATATGGCCAAGATCGTAAATATTGTAAGCTGTTTAGTTTCTATCTCAGTAACTAGAAGTCATAAGTAATACTTAATCAAGTGAGTGTACCTGTGTAACAATAAAACTTTATTTACAAAGATAGATGAGGGCTAGATTTGGTCCTCTGGCCCTGGTTTGCCTACCTTTGATTTAGAATAGAAAAGGCTTACAAGGTTTGTGCCACAACAGGGAGAGGGTTGTCTAGCTCATCCTAGCTAGGTCCCTATCAGAGAAGAGAGGAGGAATTTCTCTTGAGGAAGATTTGATCTCTTTCTATGACTCTCATCTCCTCTTTAGTGAACTCTACAGTCAGCACTGTAACTATTGCTAGGCTACCTCTCACTCCACAGTCTCATCTCAGCCCCCAGCCCTGCCTACCTCCTACTTTCAGTCCTGTCTGCCTGGGGATGGGAAAGGCAGCACAAGAAAACTGGGTGGAACCAGGTCCCCTTGGGTACAGGTACCTCTCTGGCTCCTGAGCCAGGCCTCTCTCACGTCACGTATTTCCCACGTTCTTGCTAACTTTTGGAGCACTCTTGTTCTCAGGGAGCTGTTGTTGGAGCCATATCTCACTTGTTTTGCTGCCTCCAACTGCTCCTACCCACCAGTGCCCCCTAGTGTTGGTGTGGAGGAACTAGTCTCCTAGCAAGCAGGTGTCTTCCTCTACTGAAAGACAAAGGAAATCACTTTTGGTTCTGGTGGGAGCATGGATCCCAGCCCCCAAGGTAACATTTCTCAAGAGCAGCATCTTGCTTATCAGAGAGAGAAAGGCCCATCCCTTCCTCTGGTATCCCCAGATTTAGAGCCTGAGCCCTGGGAGGATTTAGAGTTCATGGCCAACCTGGTCCTCATAGTGAGATCTTGTCTCAAAAATAGTGTGTGTGTGTGTGTGTGTATGTGTGTGTGTGTCCCCATTTCCTGGTGTTCATTTCAATCAATGTTATTTTAAATAATCAGATGCACATAGACATTACGCCTTGGTGTTCCTCTCCTAAGTGGGGGGTGGGAGATTTTTTTTTAAAGAGCTTATTCTACTGGGTTTCATCTTCTTTAGTCCTCCACAAACTTCATCTTTCTTTTGTCCTCCCTTTGTTTCTCCACCAAGGTAATGTGGTCACCCTCAAGGCCCCAAGGGCTTCATGGAATGAGGTGAAGACTAGAATCTGACAGGGTGAGGCCGGGCAGCTCCAAACCAAAGGCCACTCAGGAGAAGCTCCAGGTTCTCAGGAGACCTCCAGTATATACCCCCAAAGCCTGCCCCTTCCTGCCCAGAAAGAGACTACCTGCAACGAACCAGGGGGAAATCCATTTGTGCCTCTCCTCACCACCCTCCAACTCAACCTGAGAAGTTGCTAGTAAAAATAGAACATTCAGGGTGGACTTTTATGGTCTTGAGAAGAACACTGCTCATGCCCTCCCACACCTGGTCTTTGCCCCTGCCTGGCCCCGTGCAGCTGCCGGGGAGCAGCTCAGCACAAGCTCTCCCAGGGTCCCGCTGCAGCGATGTGGTTCCAGGCAGATTTATGAGTTCAGCCTTGGCTGAGGCCTTCTCCCATGGCTCCCAGCCACAGCCCAGCTGCTCTCCCACACCCCAAGCACCTCGGACTGGGACGTTCTGTGTCTCCTACGTCCGCCCCAGCTTGCTGAGTCACCCGCTGGCCCCCTTCTCCCTGCTGCCCCGGCCATTAGCAAGGAAGAACAGACCCCAGCCTCTCCCAACCTGCCCAGCCCTCCTTTACGCTCAGGGTGATAATAACAGCGGTGGTGGGACTCTCATCTGCCTTGGGTGCTACGATGTGAACACCAACAACAAAAAGGTGCTTCCTTCCCTACCTGGACATCAGGGGCCAGCTTTGCAACTATTACCTGATCAGGAAAGTTCCTCTGAGTGTGCACAGACTCTGGGATCTGTCCTCAAATGATCTCTTCAGAGCCATCTTCATATTTCTGACCCCCATGGCAGGACTTAGGGAGAGCTTATTAAGACTATGCCTGTGGAGAGAGACTGGCCTAGGGGGCTCCTTTCCAGATCAATCTTAGAAGTAACTCCAGAGCCAATGAACCTCTAGGCAATAATGGTATCAGGAGCCAGGGGAAGCCCCCCCCCCCCGTCCTCCCCCCCCCCTGCCCCCCTCCGCCTGACTTGTTTTTCCTGGCAGTAAAGTTTCTAACATAAAGGAAAGATGATCATCATGAGGACACATCTCCTTGTGTAAAGCTTGGTCCTTCCTGGATACAAGTGTATCAAGGTCCTTCAAGAATGTAGTAAATCCTTCAAATGTAGAACTACAAATGGCTGCCGGGTTCAGTGAAGATCGAACTGCCTCTGGGATAAAAATCTTCTCCCACTGTGGGCTGAGATGTAGCTCAGTGGCAAAGCACTTGCCTCGCAAGCACAACGTCCTGGGTTCGATCCTCAGTGCCAAAAAAGAAAAGACAAAAACATCTTCTCATACTGGATAGCCCAGGGGTATCTGAGTGTCTCTGGAAACAGGAATGTAAGCAATGTGAGTTTAACCTGCAGCTATAACTCCTGCCAAGAAAAAAGTGGAAGGGTGCAGGGCCCAGTGAGGGAGAGACATGTTGTGATGAGGGGCAGCTGGGAAGACCCCGATCCAGACACACACAAAATCCTAAATTCCTCACTGCCCCTTTGACACTGCGGAAGCATCTGGTGGAAAGATGGAAAAGCCTCTTCTCTTCTTCAATGTTCCTTCTGGCTCTGTGACCCTCCACCAAGAGCTGTAGTCCCCGGTGTTCCCATCAGCACCTGGGGCTGTGGTTACTCTGGCCCCTCCCTCCATATCTGCTCAGTAATTACTGTCTTCTGGCTGTGTGCAGAGGGCTGGTAGGAGCTGAGGGGGAAAAGGGAGGGGTGGAGCCCTAACCTGAATTTGAACCCAATGCACCCCACCCCCGTCCTTTCCCACTTCCCTGATGCTGCCACAGAAGAGCCAGGGAAGACCTCCTCCCGCGTGGCAAGGGTGAGGATACCCGCCCTGTGCTCCCTGGGACTCTCCATCCTGCTTCGCTTCTTCCTCCTGCTGGACCTTGGGCGCAGAGCCTGAGTCCAGTCCAGTGGCCGAGAGCCTGAGGGGAGACAGTAGGTAGCATTGGTAGAAAAATCCAGGTCTGCTAGTGAGAGTCACAGTCCAGGAGAGCAGGATGGGCGTGAGGGTCATTTGTCACCGAGAGCTGACACGAGTGACTTGGTGGGAAGGGGAATATCTGGCTCTCCAGAGATGTGGTCCTCCACCTCAGCATCCCTTGTTCTTTGATCAGAAGCAATGACTGTGGTGGAGTCAAGGCCGGAGCACTCCAGACCTCCTGCATAGAGACGAGACCGCATGGGCCACTTCTGCAAGACAAGGGATGGGAACTGGGTTATGTGCTGTTGGGCCACCTCCGTAGTCCAGAATCCTGGATACAGGAAGCTCCCCTTCCCTGACTGACGCCCTCTCCCAGCCATTGCACCCAGACCACAGAGGCCTCCTCACCACCACAGCATCCTGAGCCTGACTGAAAAACATTGGAGGAGCCAGCTAAGAGTGAAGGCCCTAAAAGGAGCAAGACATGATTGACAGGCAAGTGGACAGGTGCGCTTGAGCAAATCTAGCAATCGCCAGGGGCTGGGCAATGGGCAGAGCAATAGGAGGGCTCCTTCTCAGCTGTGGTTCTCAAAGGATGGTTCTTCCAGCAGGAGCAAATGATCAGAGAAAATGCCAGGAGACCTGGGCACCAGTGGCTCATGCCTATAATCCTAGCTACTTGAGAAGTTGAGACAAGACTAGTCTGGAGAATACACATGAGATTCCTTCCCAACCAGATGCCGGGCATCGTGGTGTGTGCTTGTCCCAGCCATGTGAGAGCCTGAGCTCAGGAGGATCTTGGTTCCAGGTCAACCCAGCAGGAAAGTCCCTAAGACTCCATCTCAACAGAAAGAAGATGGGTATAGTAGTATGCACCTGTCATTCTAGCTATGACAGTAAGCTTAAATAGGTGGATCATGGACCAAGTTCATGCCTTGGCAGGAAGCGAGACCCTATCTAAAAAATAACCAGTGCTTGTGGGTGGGGATGGGAGGGAGACTGGGAGGGAACTGGGAGAGAGGAGTGATGTTGTCCAAAAAGAAATATACTCATTACCTGACATGTAACTGTCACCCCCTATATATCACCTTTATAATAACAATAAAAAGATTTCTAAGAAATAACCAGTCAAGGCCCAGTCAAATTCCAGTACTGCTAAAATAAAATAATAAAAACAAAAGTCAGGGGAGAAAAGGGCTCTGCTGGGGCTGGGATGGAAAACATGCTTCCTTGGCTAACTAATCTGCCAGAATTCTAAACCTGAACACGTTCTCTCCTTTATTCATTCTTCATCATTTTTTAAAATTATTTTTTCTATTGTCACCATAAAGGTGGTGTACAGAGAGGTTACAATTTTTAGCTCATCAGTACGTTTCTTTCTGGACAATGTCACCCATTCTTCATCATTTTTAATGGTCATGATCTACACATAAGTGCTTTACCTTGGTGGCCATTTTCTAACTAATGACTGTGCTATGTCAACCCAGGACCCTGAAAGGTTTGCCCTGTGGCACATTTGTGTTGCCCCATTTAATCTAAGAATTTTGCATATTAGCTTTTTTTTTTTAATGGGTCATGGGGCTTGAACTCTGGGCCTGAGTGCTAGCCCTCAGTTCTTCAGCTCAAGACTAGTGCTCTACCACTTGAGCCACAGCTCCACTTCTGGTTTGCTGGTGGTTTATTGGAGAAAGTCTCACAGGCTTTCCTGCCCAGGCTGGCTTTGAACTGTGATCCTCATATCTCAGCCTCCTGAGTTGCTAGGATTACAGGTGTGAGCTACTAGCACTCAGCAGGGTCTTACTCTTGATTGGTTTTCCTGCTCATATCTGGTACTCTACTGCTTGAGCCATACCTCCAGTCCAGCTTTTTGCTGGTTCACTTGGAGGTCAAGTCTCACAGTTTTCTTTCTGGGCTTCTTTCAAATTGTGATCTTCCATATCTCAGTCTCTTGAGTATCTAGGATTATGGATGGAGTCATCAGTGACAAACATAAAAATGAACTCTTCTTATGTGGGGAGTGTGTCAGTACTGTGGTTTGAACTAAGGGCCTGGGAACTGTCCCTGAGCTTTTTTGTTCAAGGCTGGTGCTCTACCACTTGAGCCAGAGCTCCACTTTTGGCTTTTTGGTGGCTTATTGGAGATAAAGTCTCATGGAGTTTGCTGCCCAGGCTGTCTTTGAACTTCAGTCCTCAGATCTCAGCCTCCTGAGTAGCTAGGATTACAAATGTGAGCTACCTGGCTAACAAGCTCCTTGCTGAACACCTACTTAGTGGTTGTGAGAAAAATGTGCAGAAGCAATTGTGAACAAGACACTCTAGGCTTAGCTGCATTTAGCCACTTGACCTCCCTCCACTCCTCTTCCTCCATCTTCCTTTGGCCCTCTTAGCAATGAAGAGATTAATAATACACTTAAAGTACTTCTGGTTTCTCTTTAACATCCACATCATGATGGCTATTATTGCAATAGTAATTGTACTTCTCTTTTGTACTCTAGCAGAGAAGGTAGGCCCATTTCGTATATGCATTTTGCATATAATAAAGCAGAGGTTCAGAAAGCTAGGAACAGTCTGGTATCTGGTGGCTGCTGAAAGCCCTTGGCCCCACATTGCTGTCCCCACAGCTCAATTGCTTCTAGAACGCTGCTTCCTCCATAGAGGGTAGATATCCACAACTGGAGTCTAGAGAACATCGCGGCAGGCACAGCGAGGGGGGGGTGCCGCTGTCCACTGAGGACTCATCTGCATTTTATTTCTCTTGCCCAAGCCCCAGCCCTAGAGGCTTCCTTTTCCCCTGACACTACAACCCCCAGAACCTTTCCCTCCTTTTGGAGGAACTGCATCCACATGCACAGAGTTCATCACCACCACACCCCACTGAGCTAGCCTCTCGGTGAAGCAGGAGGACACTGGTCCCAATGTCAGCTCTGCCCAGGGCAGAGGCCCTCTCCAGTGTGCCCTCATTCCCGTGCTCTTCCCCAAAGCCCCGGATGCTAAACCTCCTCCATCCGCCCTTGGTCCCCCAGCTCATGAGGTACCTTGAGAGGATGCAAGTAGCGGAGTCCACGCAGGAAGGGGGGCCAGGCAGGCCCAGGCAACTCATGACCGAGTGTGCGGGTGAGGTGGGCTATGTAGCTGGTAGCCAGTACCAGTACATCCAACTTGGAGAGCTTGGTGTCTGGTGGCACAGCTGGCAGAGCCGCCTGCAGGGCCAGGAAAGCCTGGCGCAAGGTCCTCACCCGGCTCCGCTCCCGGGCTGCGTTCTCAGGACTGGCTTCGCTCTGCACAGAGAGCCCGGATCAGTGGGCTGCCCCACCACCCCAGCCGCCCCCCACTTCTCACAGCATTCCAGGGCCACGTCTCCTGCTGGAGCAGAGATTTGGAAGTAGAACACTGCTGAGCCTCCCTGCTTCTCTGTCTAGCTGTTTTATAGCTGAGGGAGGCCTGCGCTGGCTTGGACGGCAACAGGGATGGCAAAGCTTGACTCAGAACCTGAGTCCTACTCCATGAACAGTAGTCCCTAGTCTGAATCCTGTCCTACCTACCCTTGGGGTCACAGGGAACAAGGAGCCAGGCCTTGCTCAATAGGGCTGACCTCCATTGACCCAGCCAGCCTCCGAAGAAGAGGCTGCTGCCTGCTGCTCCAGCGCCCTCCTCCAGCCTCAGTTTCCTCAGGGGGAATGAGTTGGGCCTGCTTTCTGAGCTGTTCTTCTGGTAAGACTAGGTGTAATGTGTCCCAGCTGATCTGCACGGAACCATGAGCTTTAAGAGTAGCAGCTGTGCCACTGAGGAGGCCCTCAGCACCCTTAAACCTCTGCTTCCCCCACCTCCCTCCTCTGGTCCAGGGTTTCCTTACCCTGCCATGAGCTGGCCCCTTAGCCCTGCTTCCTCGAGGGCTAGGGGCAGCTCGGCTCCATCTTTGGTCACTCCAGCTGGTCTCTTCCCATAGGGCCTGCCTTGTCCTGCGGGGACGGCTCTTCTTTCTGTCAGTGCCTGGCAGCGACCGTGCTTTGGCCTTAGTCCGGCCATGGCCCATTCCTGGCATTGCTGGTGCCCCTCGGGCCTCCCGCTGCGCCATGCCACTCCCCTAGGATAGGGAGCTGCAGCCCCCAGAGCAGGAACACAGCGCGTAGGGAGAGCCCTTGGGCTCAAGCTAGCTGGGACAAGCTGGCCATCCAGCCAGCAATGTCCACATCGGAGAAAGCTGGCGCCAACTCAGTCCTGCTTTGCTCCTTGCTCTGGGAAAATTGCCCACCCGGCACAGCCCCCGCGAGAAGCCTCAGCCTGCCTCCCATCCCGGCAGAGGGGTGGGGGCACGGGATGCGGGGAGTGGCCAAGCCCTGGGATGCGGCCCATGCAGAAGAAGGCAGAGGAAGGGTGGGAAGAAGTGCCCTCTGGGCCATGGCTGACCCCAACAGCAATCCTAGCTGGGACCCATAGCTTCAGCTATGATGCTCAGATTCATGGTGGGGTCCTGAACCTCTGTCCTGCATGCCGGCCCACCTCCCTCACACATCCAGCAAAGGCCTCTCCCTCCTCTGGCCAATGCCTGGGACCTTCCAGCCTCAGAACACTACTCCATATCTCCCAAACATGCCCCCCACTTGGACCCACTGCTTTTACTTCTGTCTCTCCATGCCATCCAATGCCCCCCTGCAGCTCTGCCCAGAGAATGCTGCCATCCTTTGCGCTGTGTCCTTCATTTATGAAGACTTTGAACTCACAGAGCAGTGTCCCTTACCTGGCTAGTTTCCTAACAGCTCCATGTTCTAGGACAGACATTGTGCACAGTGCTTCATGCCTATGGTCTATTTCCCAGAGCAAGGCTGGAGGGAAGGAAAGTTTCTTTAGAGATAGGGAAACTGAGATACAAAGTGAAATAATTTTCCCAGTGTCAAATCCATTAAGTAGGGACCAGGAGTGAGAACACAAGCAGTCACTGGACTTGGAAGGCCTTGCCCTTTACCCTATGTTCTTTTGCCACTGGGAATCCTGTTATTTAAATTACTCCAACAGACACAGTTCTGTGGCAGGGCTGGACAAATGAGGGGCCAACACGAGGGCTGCAGGAATGGCTCAGCACTAGAGTCCTTGCCTAGCAAGCATGAGACCCTGAGTTCAAATGCCTTACGGGGGCGGGGGAGGTACAAAACAACAAAACATCTCTAGAATTCTGTACACTGTAAATATACCTTCTAACAGGTACTTGTCCAATGCAGGACATGGTTTCATGTTGAAATTCAGGGAGTAAAGCTGTCTATGAAGCCCAGAATTCCTTCAGTGGTAGA